AAGGAATGAAAGAAAATTAAAAGTCTCAGCTCTCGTACCCTAATTCCTAAAATCTATTTATAGTGGAGGACATGTCAGCAAAGTGTCCACTTTTGCCTTTGAAAGTGTCTACTTTGGCTCTTGAGAGTGTCCACGCGTATCTACGTTGGCTTGCAAATTCTCTGGAGTTGCCACTTTTCATGCTCAAAGTAGCTACTTTAGACGCGCGTAGCCACTATGAAAGGCAATAGTGTCCACGCGCATATTGCTTCCCACGTGGCGTCCCTGGAGCTTTCTAGAACTATAAAGGTTGAAAGTAGCTACTTTGGACCCTTTAATGCCCAGACTTGCTGTAGTTGTTACTTTTGCTCCTGAAAGTGGCTACTTTGGGGTCAACTTTCATCCAAGGGCCAAGATTTCTCAAAATTAGCTTGGGGACTCTGCAAAATTATCAAGATAATTAAAATTGCAATTTATATCTATGTAACTAAATGCAAATTAACCAAAAATTAATAAATCTATGATATTTACTCAAAATGTGATTTCTGTATTATTTACACTATCTAAGTCCATTTCTTCTATTAAGGAGTACTAAAAAGGCAAGTAAAAATATAATAAAAAGTGGATTCATCAATAACCCAATCATTGATGAATTTCTTTCGCAACAAGCTGGGTCTTATATTTATTGATTGTCCCATCAGGGTTTTCTTTGACCCGAAAGATTCATTTGCAACCAATGGATGTTTTGAAAGGAGGCGAATCAACAAGTTCTCAAGTACCATTTTTTATGAGAGCATCATATTCAGCCTGCACCTAACGGCCCGTGTAGTCATAGGGTGAATGTTACCTGCCCTCACTAATGAAACAAGAGGAATGGGATTTGGTAGAGGAATGGAATCAAAGGAGCCAGCAATGGGTGGCTCAGAATTAGCAGGTGTAAGGGAGGGTGATTTTAAGACAGCAAGAGGGTTGGTAGTATGGGTGGAGCTGATAGCAGTGGATGAGGTTTCAGTTGGGAAAAGATTGGTGTAGGGAAAACCATACTCATTGAAGATAACATTTTTTGAAACATATATACGACCATTTGCAGAGAGACATTTGTATTATTTGAGACACAAAGTAGGCTAAGAAAACACCTTTTTGGGAGTGTGGATGAAACTTGTTAGAGTTGTATGGTTGCAGCAAGGGAAAACAAGAGCAACCAAACTTATAATCTGGCAAGCTTCTGAACAAACTTCTGGAAAGGAACCTCTCCTTGAATTGCAATGGATGGCAATAGATTGATCAAGAAAACACTGGAGATTACTGCATAGTCCCAAAAGGTCATTGGTAAAGAGGCTTGAGATAATATTGTCAGAGACATTTCAATGATGCATCTATGTTTATGTTCTACTACACCATTTTGGTGATGAGTATGAGGACAAATAAGGCGATGAATAATTCCTGAATCAGCAAGGTGATTAGTAAAAGAACGAAATTCACCACCCCAGTCAGACTGAATAGTTTTGATGGGTAGATTAAACTGTCTGAACCAAACTCTGAAACTGTTTGAACTCACTAAATTTTTCTGACTTGGATTTCAATAGATACAGCCAAGTAAAGCGAGTGGGGGCATCAACAAATGTAATATAATACCTGTATCCACATTCTGAAACATAGAGAGCTGGACCCCAAAGATCAGTATAACAATTCAAAAGGTGTAGAGTAAGCAGAATTAGAGGGAAAGGATGGCAGTTTATGGGATTTACCAAGACAACAGTATGAACAAAACTCAAGTTCAGATTTATTAATGGAAGAAACATTACACAATTTTAGAAAAGTTTTAAGCACTTCAGTACTAGGATGACATAGTCTGGAATGCCAAATAGAGTATGAATCACTAGTAGTAGATGCAACATTTACAATTGAGGAATGTGATGTAGAATCAAAAACAATAGGATTAACAGTGTTATGCACAAAGGCAGATGGTTGAAGTAGACTTCTTGGAAGCTAAAGTAGGTTAGGAAAACGATAACGGCTATTGTTTCCCACTGTGCCTTGAAGAAGCACATCCTTAGAAGCCTGAGATTTGACAACACAGAAAGAAGGATGAAATTCAAAAAACACATACTTATCTTTGCAAAATTGGCTGAAACTTACCAAGTTCCTGATAATGGAAGGAACAAACAACAGATTCTTAAGACAGAGAGAAACAGATTTATTAAAAGGGGAAGAAAAGTAAGTGACACCTAAAGATTTAATGTATAAACCTTTACCATTACCAATGGTGATTTGCTCAGGGCCTTCGAAGGGAGTGACCTGGTGAATGTTCTGATAGGTATTGGTTACATGGTGAAATGCACCAGAATCAGGGTACCAGCTATTCGTAGAGGCAGAGGAAGCACCTGCAACATTGGCAGGGATCAGACGAAAGACGTTGAAACTGATAAGATGAAGGGTAGTAATAAGATGGCATAAAGGAAGAAACGGGTAATAAGGGTAGACTTAAGATGATTGAGGAAACGAAAAATTGGGAAATGGGGAGGGGATGGGTTGGTTGAGTGTGAGGGATGCTGGGAAGGGCGGGGTGAATGATTTTGTTTGGGCTGAGATGGAGCATAGCTATCATCATGGCAGAGATAATAGAAAGAAGTGTCATGACCATACTCGTGATAAATTTGACAATCAGCGCAAATTTTTCAGAATTGGAAATATGGAAAATTCTGAGTTTTTAGGGATTAAGATGCTTTGTGTTTTCACTTTGAATGCTTTAGATAGCTACGCAGAGCATGTGATCACTGTGTGCAAAAATCGTGAACAAGCTGAAGAGGTTTAATGAAATCCAGTTTGCGCGTGTTCACTTTAAGTGAACACTTCAGAAGGTATTTTATAAGCAGTACAATGCGAATGTTCACTTTAAACGCTTAAAGTGAACACTTCAAAGAGTTGTCTTAACTAAATAGCTTGCATGTGTTCACTTAAAATGTTTGCAAAGGCTAATGTGAGGGATTTGAGATGCGCGTGTACACTTTAAACACTTAAAGTGTACACTACAAAGATTATTGTCCCTTCTTCTCACTGAGTCCTAATGTGCGTTAACACTTTGAATAATTAAAGTGTTAACGCGTAGCCTTCTGCAGTTTGCACGTGTTCACTCTAAGTGAACAAAGTGTGACCGTGCATTACCTGAACTCAGGAATCATGCACAAATGCCTTAGTGTGACTACTTTAAGTGCACAAAGTGTTAACTTCAGGGAAGGAAATCATTCCTAAGCATTTGCGTGTGCACTCTGAGTGTTTGAAGTTAACACTTCAGAGGTGAACTTCACTTATACAGCTTCTGCGCCTCTCCTCTGCATAAACATAGTGAATACTTTAGTAATTACACTCGTTTAGGCTCAAATCTTCTCACTTTTATGAACTCCTATGCTTCTCAAATTGACACCAACACAAAACTAAGATTATGCAGAATTGTACAGAACAAAAATCAGAGATATGCAGAAATAAAATTCAAAGTTATGCAGAATTTAAAAATCAAAATTCAAGTTCAAACAAAAGTAAAGAAAAAGGTTCAGAAATGTGTGTTGCCTCTCACAAAGTGCTCTTTCAACGTCATTAGCTTGACACCTTATGTTTCTTAATCTTGAAAAACCAATTTGATGCAAGAATTTTCTGTGTTCAATTTCTCCCCTACAACTAAAAAATCAGAATTAGAAAAATGAGATCAAAAACAGAAATTAACAAAAAATTTAGAACGAAACAAGTGTGAGTTGCCTCTCACAAAACCCTCTTTTAACATTACTAGCTTGACACCTCATAACCTTTAGCTTTAGGGGATAGCTTTGATGGTAACAATTCTTGTTCTATCCTTATGTATTTCCCTTTTTTCTTAATAACTTGCAGCTCTTCATCTGTGTGAGCACATGAAGGAAATAACTTTGGAAGAGCTTCCAGCTGCCTAATATACTCAGTAAACTTATCCTCATGCTCTTCATTGTCTTGATATCTAACAACAACAAGGACTTCTTTTAGTGTAGGATCATCATTCTGATTTCCAACTTTTTGGTTCTTCCTTCATGTTGTATCTTGCTGTTGTCCTGAGGCTGTTCTCTTCTTAAAATAGTAATATATTCTCCTTTGAAATCATCTTGTTGCTTTTCTTTCAATTTCTTAGAAGTTGATTTTTCCTCCTCTGCTTGGTGACTAGAAATCCTTGATCCACTTCTTATCATAATAGCATGGCAATGTTCTCTCGGATTTACAATAGTACTGCTAGAGAATCTTCCTTCTTTGGTTCCCAATTGCTCAGCTGGTTGTCCTATCTGAGTTTCCAGCTTTTTCATGGATGCTTCTTGGTTTTTGAAGCTGTTTTGGGTAGTTTCCATAAATTGTAGAAAAATTTTCTCCATTTTATCCATCCTCTTAGACAGAGGTTCTGTGAACTGCTGCCCCCTTGAAGGCTGAGATGAGGAATTCCCTTGGAAATATTGCTAATGAGGTTGAGGTCCTGCATTAGAAATTGGAACAAATGTACTATTACCAGCAGAATTTTGTGGATTCCACTTGTGGAATTGTTGATTCCTATTAGCTGGATGTTGGAATCTAGGTTGAAAAGATTGATACTGCCTTTGATAGTTTCCCATGCAGTTAATCTGTTCTTGGGCCCAGGTGTTGGCACATCACATGCACCATTGGCATGATTTCCACCATAGAAATCACAGATACACCGAGTGTTTTGGACAGGTCCAGCTTGGAGATTATTAATCTGCTGAGTTAGAGTAGCAATCTACTCAGAAAACAATTGATTTTGCAACTAATTTTGTTCAAGAAGAGTCTCTATAGCTTTGGCTTCATATCCAATGTTTCTTCCAGAATTTCTTGAATTAGTATTCTGTTACATAGAAGAAGCCATCATCTCAATAATTCTTTGAGCCTCTTCTAGAGATTTGGTGTTCAAAAAGCCTCCTACAGCTGCATCTACCATGGTTCTGGTTGCTGCATTCATTCCATTATAAAATGTTTTCATCTGCATCTGCTCTAGAATACAATGATGTGGACATCTCGTTAGGAGTTCCTTGTATCTTTCCCAAGCTTTGTAAAGTGATTCTCCTTCCTGTTGCACAAAAGATGTAATTTCTCCTCTCAACTTGGCGCTTTGGATGGAGAGAAATATTTAGTTAAGAACTTGTTCACAAGGTCTGTCCATGTGGTGAGGCTCCCTTGAGATTGAGGTCGTGCTTGTAACTAGCACTTAGCTTTGTCTCTCAAAGAAAATGGGAACAGTCTTAGCCTTAGAGCATCTTGACTCATTCCATTCATCCTTATTGTATCACATAACTGCAAAAAATTAGATATATATAAATTAGGATCATTAGAAATTCCACCAAAAAACTGATCTTGCTGTACCAAATGAAGCAAGGCTGGCTTAATCTCAAAGTGATTGGCCTGGATGGTAGGTCTGGTTATTGAAGAGTTGTATCTTTGCATATTTGGTATGACATAGTTTTCCAAAGTTCTCATTCTATTCTGGTCAGGCATTCTGGTTTCTTGAGGTGTTGTGGAGGTGGAGTAAATTGAAAATCAACACATTTTGGTGGAGAAGGTGTAGATTCCAGCTCTTGGTCTTTACTTGTTAAATTTTCTGCTCTTATCTCATTTCTTAATCTTCTTAATGTTTTGTCAATGTTTGAATTAAATACAAGAGCAACTTTGTTTTTGTTTTTACCTCGCATAAAACACAGAAAAGAAATAAAAACAAACACAACTTGAAAGTAATCAGTGTACGAAATCGCTTAATGTAGAAAATTTTAACAACAAAATATTCTAAAGAAAATTAAGAAAGTAGACTAGAGTATAGACACTTACACAAAACAAAAATAAGATGCAGTATTACAAAAAGAATTATGTAGAAATAATATAAAAGAATGAACACTATGCAGAATTAACTTCAGAACAACATGCAGAACAAAATGCATAACGAAAATACAAATCAAAATTATAAGAAACAGAAAACAAAAGCTCAATCTAATTGTCTTTTCGTTACTAATCATATTGAAAATAACTAATCCCCGGCAACAACACCAAAAACTTGTTACTTTCATAGTGTGTGCACTAAAGTAATCTCACTAGCTAGTGTACTAGTAGGTTGTAGTAAGTTATAAAATTTTTGGAATCAAAGTTGAGTCCTAAGTATCATCCTTAGGAATTAGTTTTTTCAAGTATCACTTCACAAATCAACAACTAGTTGAGCTATACAATTGATTTGAGAGTTTCTATTATGTAAAAATTAGAATTAACAAGTGTAGGAAATGATAAAGGTGCAGTAAAACAAAATACGAATTTTGTATTAAAATGATATATGAAATGGAGTTAGGAATCACTTTACCAAATTATCAATTGCAACTCAATCATGTTCTGAACTCTTTAAGTATTTCAATTGATTGATAATTGATTTCACTTATTTAATCAAAGGGTAATTCCTTGACTCAATGATCCTAATCTTCAACTTAACTACCCTAATCCCTTAGGTGTAATTCAAGTAAACATTGCATTAAGTATTAGAAATCATAGGATTACAAGATTATGAATGCTTATCTCTAAGATATCATTAATCTTGGCAATTGATTCAGATCTGAGAAACTAACTTAACTTCCATTCATGAAAATTCCTCTAAGTTCAATTCAATTGAATGATCAGTCCAATAATTACATTAAGAACAAAATCAAATGCTGAATTCAATTAAAATCTCAAGGTTCAGATCCACAGTTAATTCATAAACTCAAATTCGGATTCATAAATTACTAACAAAAGAAATCTAGAACAACATTATAGATGGAGGATTATATCAAAATTGGGATCAAATGTAAAATACTAAACTATTTAAAGAACTTTGAACATTAAAGCATTTTTTATTTGATTTTCAGTTTTATTGATCTACTTAACTACTTAATAACTACTAAAAACTAAACTAAAATATTAGTAAAATGTGGATTTATCAACTTGGTGAATGTTTTGATAGATATTGGTTACATGGTTAAATGCACTAGAATCAGGGTACTAGCTATTCGTAGAGGCAGAGGAAGCACTTGCAACATTGGCGGGAATTGACGACCACCAGTGCGACTGTGCATTGTATGAGACACATTTTCATAACTAGAACTAGAAAACAAGCTCAAGGAAGCATGTGTAAGATTAGCGTGAGCTGCAGCATCTTGGGAGGAAGATGGGGTACCTTCAGTTACATGCACAGTACTAAGTGTGTTCTTTCTAGACTTTTCAAGATGCCATTCTTGTTCAAGAAGCAGCGAAGAAACATCATCAAGAGTGCGAGGTTCCTTTTTCGAACTAAGAACCGTAACCACCATGTCATATTCATTCGACAACCCATCAAGAATGATATCAGTGTGTTCACTCAGCGAAACAGAATCACCAATGGATAGTAAGGAATCGAGTAAAGTCTGAATATGAAGGAGATAAGCAGTAATTGGGCAATTATTAAGTGAAATTGCATGAAGCTCACCACGAATTTGTTTATTATTTGAATGAGCAATGGAAAGAAAATGCTCATGAAGCTTGTCCCAGACATGCCATGACGGGAGTAGGGTATAAGCCATGGAAGAACCGCTTCTGAGATTATTGATTGAAGCCATGACAGGAGCAATTGATCTTGTTGCTCCCAAAATTGATATTCAGGTGAAAGTGTATTGCGATCTCGATCTTGGTCTGAAGCAAATTTCTAAGGAATTTGTGGAGCAAGAATGTAATTGAGTAGGCCATGGCCTTTGATGACTGGCTGAACCTGCGATCGCCAGTGAAGGTAATTCGAATTAGTGAGCTTAGCAATGACAGTATGGTAAAACGTCGTCATAATAGGTAACACATCTTTTGGTGTTGGTGGCGGGGGAGGCGGTGGGCAAGTGCCATTAGTGTCATCATTAGTTGTAGAAGCCATGAGAAAACAGATGGATCAAAACTAAGCTCTTGAAACCATAATAGAATGTAAGGAAGGAGGAAAAGAATGAGTGAAAAGAGAGAGAGAAAAAAAGAAACTCTGTTAGGAGTTTTTCAGTATATTCCTGAGAATTGTTTAGATCAGTTATAGGAGATATAAATAGTTAGAGTTGAGTGCTTAACAAATTCTGTAACTAATTAATAAAAACAGAAATGCTAATAGATTCTCTAACTAACTAATAAAAACAGAAAAACTGATACAAAACTAATACCAATAAAATACAAAACTAACTAAACTAATACAACTGAGTTGTATACTCTAATAGATTCTTCCTTGAACCTATAGATCCACCTGCTTTGCAAAAAATTTTTTTTGGTAACTTGGTTGATGACCATGTTTTTCTTTCATTGTTGACTGAACTTAGTAGAGTCATTCCCTTGCATGGCCTTAGCAAAATATTTTGTCTCACCAGCTTCAGTTAACAACAAATAATGCAATGAAGGAGAATATCTTTCTAGTGCTATTGATACTCAACTAGATCTTCTTAATTGGGTCAAAGGGGTTTCTAGCACTGTGTTTGGTTCTAGTTTTGATTCAAATTCTACCTCTATTGCCTTCTATTGGCTATATCACTTTTTGAAAATTTTTTCAACTTTAATTTCTTGGAAAGTTATGGCAGTTTACCTGCAAATGTAGATTTTGTACATTTGTCCTTATAGAACATGTTCTCATTAAAAACGACATTTTTGCATATGATGATTTTCTAGTTTTGATCATCCCAAAACCTATAGCCATACATGTTAGATCCATAGCTGATAACATAACATTCGATAGTTTACCCTTTGTCCCCATGGGCTTCATTCCTTTATTACTCTAGTGTCTAAGTCTTTGATGCTACAAAGAAAAACTATTTGTAGTCTCAATAACTGCTACCGTATCCTCTTCTACAACCATGTAGAGACACTCTTGCTTCATTTTACGAGCTACAACCGAATTGTTTTTTGTTACATTCCATGCTCCATCTCCAATTGCCTTATAGATATTAAATTTCTCTTTAAGGCAGAGATGTGAGTGACATTGTGTAATGTCCACAAGGTCCCATTAGAGATTCTAATGTCAATGTCACAACTTCTCACAATATTGAGATTTGCCATCTACAAGGTACACTTTTCCAAACTTTTTTGAAATATAGTTAGATAATAATTTTATGGAAGTAGTGTGGAATGATGTACCTGAGTCCATAACCTATGAGTTAACAGGACTATCGAAGCTGCATATTTATGCATCTGCAAGTTCATTGGTTGCAGATTCATCATCATATTTCTTATTTTTATCGGTCTTCCTTTTCTTTGGAGCTTTGCATTGATTGGTAAATTAATCTCTTTTTTCACAATTCCAAGAGATGATATCATTTTGGACTTTTGTTTGCCTTTTTCCCTCTAGACTTTATCTGCCTCAGCCTTAATTCTGACCTTTTTACTTATTTGTTTCTTTGCTTTCAGTATTCAATTCTGAACTAAAACCAGGACTAAAAGACTCCCCTAAATCTCTCTTGCGAACGTCTTCGCTTAAGATCAAGTCATGAATGTCATCAAGCTTTAACTTTTATTCCTAATAGAACTATTGATTGTAGTAACAATTGCATCCATACTATCCAGGAGGAATGATAGTAGAATTAGCGCCTTCACCTTATTATCAAACATGATCTACATTAACATCAACTTGGCAAGATGCATTAAATATACTTTACCTTCTCCCATCTTTAGGTTGAATAGCCGATGCATTAAATATACTTTATTGGCTACTGATGGTTTCTCATACATATTTGGTAATTCTTTCATCAAATCTGCAGTAGGCTTCTTGTTCACAATGTTGAAAATAATATTCTTGGCCAATGTCAATCTGATCACACCAAGAGCCTGTCAATCCAACAACTCCCAATCTATTTGCTGCATGTCATCTAACTTCTCTCCTGTCAAGGGTTGATACAACTTCTGATATAAATAATTTTCTTTCTACATCTTTGAGAATCCAAAGTCTCTTTCATCAAATTTTTTAATCCTTATTTTACTCTCTTCCAGCGCCATTGCTTCTATTTCTTCCTCTAAAGAAATCTACGACTACTTCCTTGAAACTTAGGTCCCTATGAAAAATTAAATCTTTTTTTATGTGGAAGATCAAACAAAGCTCCATTCACA